AAGAAGTCTTGGTGTGGTGGCTCAGTCTGCAATCCCAGCACTTTGGGAGGTCGAGGTGAGAGGACTGCCTGAGCCCGGGGGGTTCGAGACCAGCCTGGACAACTTTGTGAGACCGTATCTCTACAATAAATCACAAGAATTAGCCGGGCGTGGTGGCGTGCACCTATAGTTCCAGTTACTTGCAAAGCTAAGGTGGAAGGATCGCCTAAGTCCAGCAGGTCAAGGCTGTGGTGGCCGTGAGCATGCCACTGCATTCCAGCCGGGGCGACAAGAGTGAGACTCCAACTCAGAAAAAAAAAAGGGTCCCTGGGCAGGAATTATAACCCAAAGTCACGTGTGTCACGGACCAGATAGCAAGTAAGATGGACCAAGAACTGGCCATGGGAGGCCTGGTGGGAGGCAGGAATGAAGCAGGCATCAGGGGTCCTTTGAATAAGGCCTGGATTTTCACTCTGGGCCTCTGCACCCTGCACCCCTCACATGATCTCACTTCTGTCTCTGGCCTCTGCTAACCCCATCTTCTTCCTTCCTTCCTACCCCCACCCCTGGCCAGCCCTACCCAGAGCCTACACTTCCTAAATGAATTAACTGGGATTTCAACCCCTTTAGCAAGTTGAAAGGATTGGGAAAATGTTATCATTAGTTAAAACTCATGGACATAGTGAATGGCATTTGTGCTACATTTGCCGTTTTCAAAGCATTTTTCTTTTTTTAAATTTTTTTTTGAGTTGGAGTCTTACTCTGTTGCCCAGGCTGGAGTGCTGTGGCTGCTCCTGGCCAGCGCAGCCTCCACCTGCTGGGCTCCGGCGAGCCTTCCGCCTCAGCCTTCCAAGTAGCCAGAACTACAGGCATGTGCCACCACATCCAGCTAATTTTTGATTTATTGTAGAGATGAGGTTTCGCCAAGTTGCCCGGGCGGGTCTCGAACAAGCGGGCTCAGGCAATCCACTCACCTCGGCCTTCACAAGTGCTGCGATGACAGGCTGAGCCACCGAACCTGAACTCAAAGCATTTTTCACACACAGAACCCAGTTTAATCTATACAGCAACTCTGATGCTGCAGGTAGGGGTGACTATTCCAAATTTTCAGAGGCGCTCATAGGCATAAACGTAAGGTACATGGCTTGCCTAGCTGTGCATATCAGAGCTGGAGTCAGAGCCTAGGTCTCCTGACTTCAAACCCTACACTCTCACCACCCCACAAGTCATAAAGCTTTTCCTAGCACCACCTTCCTCCACACTTCCGCCCACAGCCTTATCTTTGCTCTGATGGGTTTTCTTCTTTCTGTCTTAGGTTAGAGCTGATCACCCAGAAACTGAATGAATATATTCATGTTAGTGTTCCGGTGGCCAAAATTTGCCCTGAATATCTCACTGGTTCTTCTTCTTCTTCTTCTTTTTTTGAGTTGGAGTCTCAATCTGTCGCCCAGGCTGGAGTGCAGTGGGACGCTCACAGCCACTCCAGCACCAACCCTCTGGGATCCCATGACCCTTCTACCTCAGCCTTCCAAGGAGCCGGAATTACAGGCGCACACTACCATACCCACCTAATTTTTTTTTTGATTTATTGTAGAGACGAGGTCTTGCCAAGTTGCCTGGGATGGTCTAGAACCCGCGGTCTCAGCCAATCCACTCGCCTTGACCTCCCAAAGTGCTGGGATTACTGGCTGAGCCACCGAGTCTGGCCCTCCCTGGTTCTTCTAGAGGCAACAACCTGAGTGTTTTTGTTTTGTTTCTAAAAATTAAACTACATAGCGAGGCTGAAGCAGGAGGATCACTTTAGCCCGGGAGTTGGAGGCTTTGGTGAGCCACGATTACGCCACTGTACTCCAGTGGGGGACACAGAGTGAGACCCTCATCGCTAAAAACATAAAATAGAAAGTTGAATGACAACACCAGCTGCCAGGAGCTAAAGTAAAGTGTCCCCAGCCATCAACACTCCAAGCACCTGCTCTCTATTTAGTGTCACAAAGACACACGTGCTGAACACTCTTCACTCCTGTTGGCTTATCAGGATGTCCTTGGCTCACATGGGGTGGCCCAGAGGGATGTGAACTCTAGTTTGGGATGATGCTTGGGGTCTTAAACAAGCCTCCCAGGGGACCTTATGGGGTTTTTGGCATAGGTAAATTGCAGGACGATAGCACTGCTGACCTCTTGGGGCACATCAACTTTTGGCAACTAAATAGTAGCGGTCTCCCACCCAGATGGGACAATAAAGATGTGTCCAGGCTTCGCCCCATGTCTCCTGGGGCAGGAGAGAATGGGCCCCTGAGAATCACTGCTCTAGGGCCGAGGAGTGAGTGCCCATACACTGTAACTTCATGAGGGTCTGTGAGTCCTTAGGGTAGGGAAACCGAGGTACAAGCACACATGTGAGCACGCACACATTCACAGGAAGGGCCTTCAGTAATAGCTGCAGTTTGGAGTTGCTTACCGGGTGTTTGATGTTTTTCCTACCTAACAAGAAGACTGGCTTCTGGTGGGAGGAAGAGACACACTGGCCTCTTCTCCCCTTGAGGGTCCACTATCCCTCACTTAACTGAGAACTGGAAGGGAAGAGGGTGGTTGAAAATTTGCAGCCCTTCCCACCATTGAAGACTGGTTCCTTGCACGGGGGAGAGGGGAGAGGGCAGAGGTGGTTCTGGGAACAGGGAGAATCTCAGCCAGGACCCACCATGCCCCAGCGCTGCTAGGTGTGTGTGTTTCCGTGTGCAGGGAGGGACTTATACTGGCGGCCCGGAATAAGGACTGCCACCTCCCTCCTCGACTTTATGCCTTTCTGAGATTCTGGGACGAGGGAGTGGGGGAGACCACTAAGACGATGGAGAGTCCACAGCTTGGCTGGAAGCCAGCAGCACCGCCTGTAATCCTCTCCCACAGCAGGACCAGAAATCTGGAGGTGGCTGGGCCGTTCCAAAGTCAGGCCCAGCTCAACCACAATGGAAATCAAGCTCTCCTTAGCTGTGACTCTATGTGAGGTCAGCCTCATGACCGCCCTGGGGGAACCATTCACGGGTGGGAACACGTCCCTAGGATGAAGTGATGTGTGGCTGAGCTTAGATTCTCACATGGTCACGACATGTGGGCCAATTAAAACCGCCAGCTCCTACGTGCCCAGGCTACGTCCAGCAGGCACTCCCAAGCCCAGCTCCTGACCAGGTGTCCTAGCTGGGCGTCAGCACACAATAAGATGTCCCCTGGGATGTCAAGCACTGGGATGATGGAGTGTGGCATCAACACAACTGCCAGTCAAGCAGCAGCGACTGCTGCCACTTCTGGGGGGGCCATCCACGAGGAAGTATGCTCCTGCCACGCAAAAGCAGAAAGGAGAAAACCACACCCAGATGGCAAGCATTACGACCCGCCATCTGCAGATGCCACCACCGCGAGTTGTGACTATCGGTGACAGGACGCACACGCGGTTTTCCAATCTTAGTGAATATGGGAAGTTCTTTTTTGGGGGACTGGGGCTTGGCTCTTGTGGCTCACAGTAAAGTGGAATGAG